TTCGCGAGATAAACATATGGCACTCATCGCGTTGGAATGGTGCTGGGATATTTGCAATTTTCTGAGAAGGTCAGGGTAGATTTGGTGGCCACCTGTCATCCAGTCAGCTGCTTGCCTTCCCAAGGTTGCGAAAAGGTTATCAGTCGGTAATATGTTGGTTTGACAATGGACGTGATAGGCAAATGACGCACTCCCTTTAGTGATGAATTTTACCTCAGCCAAGTTTCGTTGTCATGTGACCATACCGTCTACCCCTATCAAATGATTGAAGTCATTTCTCCTTTGAGATTCTAGCAATATAGTCGAAGCCATTAGAATTCATGTGTCTCAGTTCTTGCATTAGGTCCTCAAACTTACGTACGGACTGTGTGTAACCTATTAATAAAAAATGGAACAAATAATTTGAAATAATTTTTGTAAAGATATGGTAAACCGAAAATGGTGAAATATGTACCCATTCGAAGCACCATTAGACGCTCATCTTGACTTTTGAACTTGTGCAAATAGTTTGTGGCTATATGTCATAAACAGTACCGGTGATAATATTGGAGGGTTGGTAAGACGGGCCCATACGCTGGAGTGCGTATTTGATACCAGTACCCCTGTCAGAAATAAGACAAATCCTATAATTTCTATCCTATATCACTGTGATAGAACATGTAACATCCCAAAATAGGACTAGTGACTGAAATGAAAGTTTTTGAAATTTAGTGACCCATTTAAGAAAAATTTAAAAGTTCAAAGACTTAAGTTTGAATATATTAATATTGGATTAAGTAAAAATTATGGATGGAGTGAAGGGCATTGTGGTAATTTCACCTTAAAAGATATTTATCCCCTTTAATAGGAGATAAACACGTGAAAGGGGGGATTTATCTAAACCTTTCTTCTTGCTTCTTTCTTCCTCCCGTTTGCTCTAGCTACAAAGGTAAGTTTGATTTTAGTTGTTGATCTCTTGAATTTCTAAGTTGGTTTTAAGTCTTTGGGTGTTATATAAGCTTAAGGAAAGCTTATATAAACTTAAAACATCAAGAAGAAATAATTAGAAAGGAAATTTTATTAAGGGTTTAGAAATGAATTTTTGATATAAAGAGGTTTTAGAAGTTCTATTGATGAATTTAACTTGCATTAGAAGGATTAAGAAGCTTGAAGCATTAGAAATGAATTTAGAAAACATGGAAAGTTTAAAATTCTTAAATTCAAGAGTTTATGATTAGTTATGAAAGATGATGAGGTGTTATAGTTATATGTGAGGTTTAAGTAGTATAGATGAGTTTAAAAGCATGAAGAGAGTCAAATAATTAAAGTTTGGGGTAAAGTGTTGGAAATTTTCGGGCTAAGAAGCATTTTCTGTGTGAGTAGTATCGATACTTGTTGAGTGAGTTCCGATACTACAAGGCAAATTATAAGGATTTCATGCATGGGGTATCGATACCTTATGAACAGTCGATACCATAAGGATGAAGTATCGATACCATTGTGGAGGGTCGATACCATGATACATCGAAGCTAATTTTGGTATACCGTGGTAGGGTATCGGTACCCTAACATAGAAGTAATACTGAAAGGGTAGTACCGATACTACTTAAGTTAGAAAGTTGAAATTGGAGTTTTATTTAGTTTGCATTGATATGAATTGTATCAAGTAATTCGAATCCCGACATTCATTAAATTACGTATTCGTGTAGATACCGATAGGAAGTAAAGTTCGATATGCTGTCAAAGTAAGATTCGAGAGAGAGAACGAGAGCTTGATATTGGCAAGTAATCAAGGTGAGTACATGATATTAGGATTAAGTTATGTACGGAAATTAAGACTTGTGATGAGTCTAATTCCAATATTAGGTTATATGAATACATGGAACATAAGCATACAATGATATGATGCTAGATGTATATGATTAAATGCATATGTTAGATGTTAAGTGCATATCCCTATGTGATCTATATGACAGTATATGTGATTACATGTCTATATGAATGTCAAGAACTATGACTCTATGAGAATGTTACATGATATATATATATATATATATATATATATATATATATATATATATATATATATATAACATAAGAGATAAGACATATGACAACACATAGATGAAAGTAATCTATGTGATATGTGGTCCTTCGGGATAAATTCTACGCGCCCATAGTGTGAATTATACGAGCTGTGGTGACAGCATATGTGCACAACCTCTATGTACTCACATACCTTAAGTTCTCAGAGTATACATGGGCTTTAAAAAGAATATAAACCAATTGATATGATACTATGCGTTCTCCTTTGTGAAATGATATATATATGTGTTCTATGATGTGTATAGAAATGTTAAGCATATGCTCATATGATAAAAGGAGTTAGTGATAACAATATAAGTAATGATAAGCATGTGATGATTATGTATGCATACAAGCATTGTGTTACATATGTACATGCATTGGTTAGTCAGTTATAGTTTTCCATTATGTATTTCATGTCTCACAAGTTTATGATTAGCGTGTGAGTGTTTCACACGTAGGATCCGAGAAGTTTCAAAGCGAAGATAAGTAGCGGAAGACATCATAGCGTCATCAAGGATCAGATCAGAAGAAAAATTACCAGTATGTTATTTGTTCTATAGTATGATGTTAGCATGTATTTAAAGAATTAATTGGTAGAAGCTCTGAATTGTTTGTAAACTTTTGAGTTATATGAAATTATTTTGTATATTTAAATTAAATACGAATTTTCCTTTATGTTAAATAAGTACATGATTTGAAATAGTAATGTGACATCTCATACTTGTATTCGGGTCGAATACGGGTTGGGCGTGTTACATAACATATGTTTGTAAGTTCGTAATGAAGAATTATCAAGAGTCGATATCTTCCTTTTCGATAACTGCGAAGGCGATGAGAATAGTTTTTTTATGTTACCGTCTTGTGCAACCGTCAATAATATTATTTGAGTGTTTCGATAAACCAAGTGCCGTCAATTTGAACAATCGGCTTACAGTGTTGGAATGCATTAATGCATTGCGAAAAAGTCCAAAAGAGTCGGTAGAATTGACAGACACTTTGTACGACACTATCATTTTCGTACCCCGAGATTGTTTCCAATTTTATAATTGTTCCCGAAATGTGTTTCTGCATAGTTTAAGGCATGGTCGCAATTCATTGTATGATTCCTCCCATTGGCCGAAAATTTTTTGTTGGGCACGATATCTTGCATACCATGCTTTGTGGTAGTCAACTATACTCGTATATTGATGTAACTGAAGCAATACAATTCGCAACTGTAACACGTGGATTTGATTTAAGCAGCAGAATAAGGCTTCAGAAAGCACTGCACATCCAAGTTACGATGACTTGATTCAGGATGTTGGCGGTGCATGTATGTGGTTGGACGTATTTTGTGAGTTTCTAAAGGTTGTTCATTATCTTCAGCCTTGATACACGAACCCTCTAATTATATCTTTGCTTCTTGCGGAGACATTCAACGATGTATTTATCCGTATAGTTTTTTCACGGTTGACGTGATGGAGCGACATATGTTAGTTCTTGATTGCAACCATAACTTGTTCTTTTGTCATAAAACTCATTCGTAAAAAGTAAATAAATTTCCAACTTACCAATAAACAAATCAAAATAAATAATGAAAATTAAAATATTATATTAACCTGAAAACCATTACAACATATAGATCACCATCACTACGTTATAGTAGTCCTTAAATTAACATTTTAATAATTTAATTTTGTAGTATTTTTTATTTTATTAATATATCGAATACCTTAATAATTGTTTATTTTTTAATCTAAAAATTGTTTTTAATTTTTAAAAAAATAAATAAGTCCTCAAACTTTCTAAAATAATCAATTAAGCCCATCTACTACATCATCAACATTTGATTCTACTATTTGAAGGGTTAGATTAATTTTTTTCTAAGTTTAAGGATAGTATTTGGTACAAAAAAAAGCTCAGGGCAACTTTAATTAATTTTTTTTAAAGTTTGAGAGTCTTAATTACCACTAAACATATTTTTTTTATGTTAAGACACTTTTGTGTGCTATTGATTATAACAATATTTTTTCCTGTATTTTTAAAATTTAATTGATGTCCAATATGTATTAACATTATATTCTTTTATAAATTAAAATAAATCGTGTCATGAAATTTCTTATCAATTTTAATATTTTATTACATAACTCATGTTAAATTTATGTAATGAGTTTTTTAATAATTATAGTTTAATTTAATTATTTAATAACTATTTGTTTATTTCTATTTTAGAAAATTAGATGCCACATACATTTTTACTATTTTAGTTTTGAATTCAAGTTTTTATTTATATTAACCAAACTGTTTTTTAATTTTCAAAAAATTAAAAATGAAAACTATTTTCGAAAACAAAAAATAAAAGAAAAGAAAATAGAAAATATTTCTAGAACCAAACATACTCTTAATATCTATTTTATGTCTAGAAACTTTAATTAAACTAAATGTATATTATTTGAACACTTATTATTAAGTAATATCTTTATATTTGGTATAGAAATGTGGAATCAAGTGAGCATTCGACCTAGTCGAGTCAGAAAATTTTAAGTTATTCGAGTTGATGAGTCATATTTTACGACTCGAACTTGACTTAATTTTTTTAAAGAATTTAAAATTACAACTCAAAATTAATTCAAATCGAGTTTTTCTGAAAATTATTATTTTTTAAATGAGTGGAGTTTTGGTCAACAAAAACCTAATGATGCGAAGTCAAATGTGAAGCTTGAGAAATCTGTCCACGACAAGAAAATTGCTTTTGCATGGGAGAATCTGTGTGTCGTCATTCCTCCATGATTTCCATCCAAATTATTCAATGAAATTACATTAAATCTTTTCATCACTTTTACTACAAACACTCCAAAGCTTCTTCCAAGATTGATTATTCACATCTCATCATTTAATCACCAAAAACATTACAATAAATTATTCAATGATTCCAATCAATTAATAACCACTTTTATTTATTATCCCCTCACTGACCGTACACCATTTTGATTTGACAACATCACAATAGAAACATATTTGAATCCAACCAAAAGGTCATACTTTTTGCTGTTTGGCGCGTTGGAAAATTTCATCTAAAACTTTCTCTGCTGAGATTCTTCTCGTCTGTCAGTTAATCCTAAAACAACAAACTACAGATTAAAGCACTAAAAGATTACAAATGAAGAGGTTAGATACCCATTAAAGACCCTGTCATTCTTGCTCTAAATATATAACAAAAACAAAGAAATTTATGCATAACAGAGCCATATGAGAGTGCCATTAGTAGCACAGCAGCTTGTTCTTCTTCTCCAAGCTTAGTTCTTTGATTCTCAACCGTTGATCTTTGCATCAAAACTTGTCTTCCCAAAGATAATAACCTCTGCCTCAAATTATCTCTTAAATTTCTACTGTTACTTCTGCTGTTGCGGTTTGGCTTCTTTGATTTCTTCATTTCTTGTCCTTTGTTTAATCCCAGCATTGCTCTTCTCTTTTTCCTGCTTCTGATCCCACATGCATTACAAAGAGACTGCCATGGGAAAAAAAGAACTACATCAAAATCAAATACAAATTGAAAGTTTTTTGAAGGGGGGAAATGAAGAAACCTTGGGGCCGGCCGGACCGCCTCTCCAGAGTGGGGTTTTAGAGGTACCACAATCGGCACAAGTTCTCTTGGTTTCATTGATGAGTGAAAACCCTTTTTGATCTTCGGAATCTGATCCCTGCAGGAAAGATGAAGAAAGTTGATGATCATCAAATGCTGGGGTTGAAGGAAGATATCGAAGAGCTGTGATCACTAACCTTTTCACTTGGATCCATCATTTTTAGTTGCAAAACAGGGGAAAAGATGGAGATCTTGTTAAAGCTTGTTGTAAAGAAGAAAGAAAAGAGAGGCAAGTTTTGGGCCATGCAAAGGGAAAACACAGCAACATAAAAGACCGGAAGCAGGCGGATCTGCAAAATTTCTTTTATAAGGGAACCCAAACCCTAGCTCGGTGGACATTAAATGACTTAAATGCCATTATTGGTTACGCTTTTTACCGCATGTTGCCACCAAAATTTTAAAAAAGAAATCCTAAAACCTGGCTTGGGGAGGCAACGGGGACGATTTTTGTTGCCCTGTCTGATCCTTACTATACACAAATACTTATATGTTTTAAACGACTCGTATTAATAGTTTTTACATAAGATTAACAAGCCACTCAAATAAAGTTTTATATGACCAAATTTGAAATAATGTATTAATAAAAAGTAATTGATGATTGTTGATAATGCTCAACTCAATGTTGATAATGATAATGCTCAAATTAGGTTATCCCACTAGCATTGTAAATGCTCAAATTGTCATTTCTTGATAATGTTCAATGTTGATAATGATAATGCTCAATCAACTAGTATTGAATTTTAATAATGCTCAATCAACTAGTATTGAATTTTAATAATGCTCAATCAACTAGTATTGAATATTGATAATGCTCAATTCACTAGTATTGAATGTTAATAATGCTCAATTCACTAGTATTAAATGTAATAATGCTCAAACCACTAGTATTAAATGTAATAATGCTCAAACCACTAGTATTGGAAATGACAATTTTGCTCTCAATATTTAGCCTATAAATAGTGGGCAATTTCATTCATTTTGAATCATCCCAAGCAAACATTTCCTTTGAAAACACTCCTCTCTTTTGAGTGTTGTTTGAGTTGAGCGAAGAGCAATACCATCGAGTTCACTTCAGTTTTCGGGTGTACGAATTCTTGGAGAGCCGTGCTAACCTCAGGGGAACGGTCCGCCTACAGCGATTACACACATAATGGCGAATTCGTTTCTAAGGCAGTGGTTAATACCACGACACGTTTCTAATCTGTTTATTTTAAATTAAATTTATCTTTTCTGTCAGTGCTAACGGTGTTATTTTGCAGTCTATTTTTCAATAATTTAGAAACGAAATTCCATTATACTACATGACAACACCTTTGAGCAAACTGATTCCCGATCTTTCCAAGCTCGATGCACTTGATGGCAAAAATTATAGAAGGTGGTCCCAAAGAATCCTGATATTCTTTGAGTAGCTTGATCTTGACTATGTGCTGCTCAAGCCACCACCAACCCCAACTGCCGATAATGATGCATATGCGGTCCTGAATGATGATGCCTTAGCAACTGCCACCGCCGCACTCGCTACCTACGAAATACGAGAAAGACAACAAAACGGTGCGATGACATATTCTCAGTCACATGTCAAATAAATTATTTGATATATTCCTTAGAGAAAGGAGTGCCAAGGCAATATGGGACACTCTGGAGAAAAAGTATGGTGTAGACGATGCGAGTATAAAAAAGTACGTTGTCGGCGAATGGCTTAAATTCCAGATGACAGACGACAAGCCGATAATTGATCAAGTCCATGACTATGAACTTAGTCGTTAACATCACTGCTGAAGGGATGCAAATGTGTGAGGTACTGCAAGCCAATGTTCTCATTGAGAAGCTGCCCAAGTCCTGGTCTGACTACCACAATTCTCTTAAGCATAAAAGAGAGAAATTTCACTTAAATAGCTGGTGGGCCATATGAAGATTGAAGAAACCAATCGTTTAAAAGATAAGATTACTAATTCTCTGAGTAATTTATCTTTTAAAGCTAACTTGGTTGAGTCTAGATTCAAGAAACGAGGAAATCAAGACAAAAAGACAAAACCTCAGAAGGCTACCAACTTCAAGAAGTCAGGAAAGGACAAACCTGAAGGAAATATGTTCAAGTGCTATGTCTGCGGTTTAGCCGACCACAAATCTTACCAATGCCAACACCGTTCAGACCGCCAGAATGACAACAAGCCGTAGATGCACATTGTAGAAGAAGATGATGAAATCATTACTGCGGTGGTCTCAGAAGTTAAAATGGTGGAAAATAGTTCATAATGGGTAGTTGACACTGGCGCTTCAAAGCATTTCTGCACAAGGAATGAGTTTTTCACCGAATTCGAGGATGGGAACACAGGTGAACGTGTGTATTGGGGGAACTCTAGCAGCTCTGAAGTGCTAGGCAAAGGCAAGGTTTTACTCAAGCTGACTTCTGGTAAAACTCTGGCTTTAAATAATGTTTTGTATATACCTGCCTTGCGTAGAAATTTGATAAGTGGTGGGCTTTGAATAAGGCATGCATTAAGTTAGTTATTGAGGCAGATAAACTTGTACTTTCCCGAAATAGTGATTATGTTGGGAAAGGGTTTTTAAGCAATAGTTTATTTGTCATAGAAACCCAATTTAATGAAAATAAATATACCACTTCTGCTTATATTGTTAAATCCATTGATATGTGGCATGCTAGATTAGGACACGTGAATATTCATGCTTTAAAGAAATTGATGAATATGAATGTTCTGCCTAAACTAGATACAACTAGCTTTAACAAATGTGAGATTTATGTAGAAACTAAGCATACTAGACCTCACTTTAAGAATGTTTCTAATAGAAGGACTGAACTGTTAGAACTCATTCATACTGATCTAGAAGATTTTAGAAACACTGAAAGTAAAGGAGGAAAACACTACTACATAATTTTGTAGATGATTATTCAAGATATAAAAAGTTTATCTCCTAAGAACTAAAGATGAAGCTGAAAACTTCTTTCTTATTTATAAGGCAGAAGTTGAAAATCATGATAGGAGAATCAAACGGGTTAGATCTGATAGAGGTGGTGAATATGGATCTAATTTCTTAAAAGATATTTGTGAAAAGAATGGCATAATCCATGAAACTTCAGCCCCCTATTTTCCTCAACAAAATGATATAGCCGAAAGGAAAAATAGAACTTTAAAAGAGATGATGAATTCTTTACTAATAAGTTTAGGGTTATCAGATAACATGTGGGGGAAACTATTCTATCAGTAACTCATATCTTGAATCGAGTTCCTCATGAGAAATTAGATTCTACCCCATATGAATTATGGAAATGATACGCTCCTAATTTACAATGCCTGAAAGTGTGGGGGTGTCTAGCCAAAGTGGGTTTGTCGGACTTTAAGAAGTCCACCATCGGACCTAAAACTGTTGATGCAGTGTTTATAGGGTATGCTACGAATAGTGCTACAAACAGATTCATACTTTTACAAGATTCTATTTGTGAGTCAAGAGATGTGTTTTTTCTTTGAAAAATACTTTTCCTTTAAAGGAACTGGGACAAATAGAATATATTCCATCCACTTCTTCTAGTAATTCTGCTAGGTCTTCTGAACAAATTTTTTGAGCCTAGAAGAAGTAAAAGGCAAAGAGTTGAAACCTCTTTTGGACCAGACTTTATTACTTCCTTTATTTCTGAGATAAATGATTTACATTCCATTTCAGATCCTATAACTCAAATTTTTCTGTTAGATGAGGATCCTAAAACTTTTGAAGAAGCTATAAGATCTATCGATGTTAGTTTCTTGAAAAGCACTATTAATGATGAACTAGAATCGATAATGTCTAATCATACTTGGGAATTAGTTGACTTGCCTAAGGGATTCAAACCAATCTGCGACAAATGAGTCTTCCGGAAGAAACTGAGGCCAGATGGTTCGATTCAGCGATACAAGGCAAGGTTAGTCGTCAAAGGGTTCACTCAAAGGTTTGGTTTAGATTACTTTGATACATACTCTCCCGTTACGAAAATCTCAACGATTCGTGCATCTATTCATAAGTTGCAGGTACATCAAATGGATGTTAGGACTGCATTTTTGAATGTGGATCTAGATGAGGATTTATATGGAGCAATCACTAGGTTTTGAAGCACCTGGTATGGAAGGCAAAGTCTGTAGACTTAAAAAGTCACTTTATGGGCTTAAGCAGGCTCCTAAACAGTGATATGAGAAATTCCATAAAACTATTCTTAGTTTTGGTTTTGTTGTGAATGGTTCGGATGCTTGTGTGTATTCAAAGATGTTTGGCATTGAATGTGTCATCGTAAGCCTATATGTTGATGACATGTTGATTTTCAGTTCTAATATTGAGTCCATTAATGTTAAAAGTTTCTTGTCCACTAAGTTTGAGATGACAGATTTGGGAGAAGTCGATGTAATCTTAGGAGTCAAAGTTACCAAAACTGAAAAGGGATTTTCTTTAAATCAAGCACAATATATAGAGAAAGTGCTAAAGAAATTTGACAGTTTTTATGTCGGCCCTGTTAAAACTCCTTATGACCCTAACATACATCTCTTTAAGAATAAAGGAAGTAGCGTTTCCCAAACAGAATATGCTAAATTAATCGGAAGCTTAATGTTCTTAATGACTATACTCGGCCTGATGTTGCTTATACTTTGAGTAGACTGAGTAGATATACTCATAATCCAAGTGGTGAATACTGGATTGCTCTTAAACGCTTAAAAGGAAGTAGCGTTTCCCAAACAGAATATGCTAAATTAATCGGAAGCTTAATGTTCTTAATGACTATACTCGGCCTGATGTTGCTTATACTTTGAGTAGACTGAGTAGATATACTCATAATCCAAGTGGTGATACTGGATTGCTCTTAAACGCTTACTGAAGTATCTTAAGGGTACTTTGGATTGGAAACTTGAGTTTGTTGGCTTCCTGTTGTACTAGAAGGATAGAAGGGTACTTTGGATCGGAACCTAACAGATCCACTTACCAAATGGTTAAGTAGGAAGCTGGTCCTAGATTCGTCGAGGGGATGAGTCTAAATACCATTGGTTAAAGAATTCATGGTGGATACCCAACTTAGTTATCTAAGTTCCATGTGGTCAAATGAAACCATGAAAGACTCATAGTGCACATTCCTACTACCTATCCCTATGCTGAATAATGTGCTGCCAAGGATGAGCTTAATTGCTCTTAATAAATTCATAGCCCAGGCTTTGGGTGGTCTTAGTGAGAAGACTTGATGAATTTACCGATTTTGGCTGAATATCTATTCTTAATAAG